CCTAATTTCAAAAAATATAGACAGGATTCACATTTCACAATACAAAAAATATAGACAGGATTAGAATCATATTTATTGTAAAAGTTATTTAAAATTAGAATTATATTTTCTTGTAAAATTTTCACCTTAATCAATATGTTACAATAATATCCCCATATACATACAAAGTTATTTTAATCAAAGTTAATCAAAGTTATTTGTATGTATATGAAAACCTGAGGAACACTTGTATGAATTGAACTTGATGCTATCTTTAAATTTTGAAGAGGGGGCACTGAAGCCTTCACCACCTTCTCCTTCAAGGCTTTGGAGGAATATAAATTGGAGTATGGAGGGATGGGTACCTTCCAATTTTTTGGGTCACAAAATCTCAAATAGGTTTCTAAATGTGATCGTATCTTATATTGAAATCTTGTTATTTAATTTAAATGTTTGGGGCTGCTTGACTGTATGCTTTAGGCCATTTGTAGGAGAAAGGTAGAAGCTTTTTTGAGATTTCTAAGATGGTTTGTTGAATGTTCCAATGGTAGTCTAGTTTTCATTAATAGAATTTTTCAAAGGGTTGGCTTGCCGTATACCACGTATGGGAACTCCTTACCTTGTTGATTCTCTATGTGGAAGGAAGATATTTAATTTTAATTTTTTCATTTGGATTTACCTCTTTTATGTCTAAGACAAATCTCCTACATGTATTGGTAACTTCAAAATATGAAAATATTCAAGATAACTGAGGGCCTACCTACAAAATTTCCATACTAGCATCAAAGATTTTAAGCATAGTGAATGATCATAGTGTGTATTTTAGTGGTAGATAACATGCATGGATCTATATGGAAGATCTATTGAGCTATTTGCATGGATCAAATTTATACAATAATATAAATATATATTCTTTTACTTCATTTTTTATCATTTATGTCTTTTTAATCACACAGCCTTTCATCATTCTCTTATAACTACCAAGTCTGAAACCCTAACCCTAATTTCTGATTTCACAATTCAAAACCCTAATTTCTGAAACCCTAATCCTAATTTCTGATTTCACAATTCAAAACCCTAACCCTAATTTATGATTTCTGATTTCACAACATTTTCACATTCATAAACCCTATTCTACCCACATTGTACCCACATTCACATTTTCACAAATACAATAAACGCATAAAAGTAGATCAACAGAGAGAGACAGACGCCATACCACCGAGAGAGAGCAACCCACGGACAGAGAGAGAGCAGAGAGAGAGAGTGAGAGCAAAGAGAGCAGGGAGCGAGAGTGAAGTCGAAAAAAGCTAAGTGTAAAAAGCGTGATTGCGAATGACAGCGTTGGGGGATATTTATATAAGTTTTAAAAGCGTGGTTACGAACCACGCTTTCACTTAAAAACGGATTTTGGTTAAAAGCGTGGTTATCATCCACGCTTTCTTTTATGAACAGTAAAAGCGTGGTTCACAACCACGTTTTCAGAAGAAAATTTTTTTTAGTTAAAAGCGTGGTTCACAACCACGTTTTCAAAAAAAAAAAATTCTAATTAAAAGCGTGGTTGTGAACCACGCTTTCGGGAAAAAAATTTTAATTAAAAGCGTGGTTTGTAACCACACTTTCTTAATTAAAAGTGTAGTTTGGAAACACGCTTTTACGATTTCAGGAAATTTCCGCGTGACAGCCTCAAAAACGTTGAAAGCGTGATTGTGAACCACGTTTTAGCCTAGTTTGGGAATTCCATCCAAACTAGGCCTACTTTGGGAAATAGGTTGCTAATTTGGCTTAATTTGGAAAAAGCCCCTTAAAATGAATACCAATTTTGATTATAAGCTACATATGGTATGTATGACAAGTATTTTAGCTAGACTTTTTCAAGTATTGTATTTGCATCATAAATTTCTGTCGAGATTTGAAAAGGAAATGAGAAATGAAATAAAAATTTAATTTATATTTCATTCAAAATTTTTCACCATCACATTTTCGCTTTTCCTTTCCAAATCAATGTTTAAATCCATTATCCAAACACAACATAAGTTTGGCAAACAATTTGCTTCCATCAACCTTACATTCCCAAAAATAAAAATTAAAAGTTTTTTTTTAAATTTTCATCCACCAGAAGACATAAAAGCTTCCATCGCCAATTTAATTATCAAACTAACAATAAATTCATAAAAAAAATATTATATAATATTCAATAACTCCAACAATCATCACTCATAAAAATATAAGAGAGAATCTCCAGCAAGCATTTGAGATCATAATTTGCTACAGCAATATACAAAGAGAAACATGCAATGCTATGCCGAGTAAACAGATTGGTTAAAGACTTCAGTTGTACAAAGACTTTTAAGAATACCAAGTACATCTTGTTTATGCTAAGGAAAATAGTAACATACAGAATCAAAGCAAATGCAAAAGGCCTAAATTTGGTCTGCCTAGGAATTTAACTTCATGCTGAGTTTGTTGCCGAGTATATTTCACAAGCCCTTCAAAGCTTGCTTCATGTGATGTGTGATCAAAAGGATAGGATACCTCCACACACCCTCTAATTGATGGTCAATTAGTTTAGCATCCAAAATTGTTCTACTTCTTTACAAGACAGAACAGTTAAAGGACGTTGCCATAAAGCTTTTATCAACATCAGTTTCACCTATTCTTACTTGAACAAAATAGATAGATATATGTACTAGTTACGGGATGTCGTGCGTTGCACGATGACCCGTGCCCATGGTTCAAGTTAATGCATAATCATCAAGTCGTAGATGAAAATCAACCAATTATTTGAGCCTGAAATTAGAATTAGCCATGGCAATTGTAAGTAGTTCATTATCATGATTTTTCTTTCAGTAGTAAGGTAATAATAACATTTTATAAAACGAAGGTGAAAAGAACACTTCTATTAGGCATTCAATCCAAAAGGAGGAAAACATGATTGACCCAGACTTACTGACAAACAGCATAAACATTACAAGAAAACAAAGTGAACCCCAACCTAACTGCAATTGTAACGTAATTTACCACAATGGAAACATAACAAAACACGAGATGTTCTAACCAACTTTAATTTGATAGTTTGGTAGCCCAACACCACCACAATGGCCCATTGTCTAATGCCACAATAGTTCACAACCATCGCTAATTTTGATCATAACTTGCATATGGTACATATGACACATCGTTTAAGAGCAATGAAGAACAAGATGAATAATATTTAGTAGTCTTGAAATTAATTAAAAAAGACTGGCTCAAAAGACAGATTCAAATATAGGCTCCCTTAACCACCACATTACAGTGTAGACATCAAATAGCCATTGTATTAACAAGCTCTAGAAACCTAAATAGCCATGTAAACGAGCCAACTCGGAATTCAAATTTACATGAAAATTTGTGTGCAACTTTATGGTATTCCACAGCAAGACAAGTAAAGCTTCCCAGATATGGAATTCTGTTGTTAAATGTTGTTTCTCACCTGCTGAAAGTAAAACTGATCTGAGCTCCGTCAGCATTGGACTTTAGTTGCTTGTACAGCTTTGTACCTAAAAATGCTTCTAAGCTTTCTTGTAGATATGTCTTGGCAATCAGCTTCTTTTCACTGTGTATCAGGACATCAACCTTTGCTTTTCTTAAAATTTTATTCTCTCTTCTTAACCTGCACATAAAGAGAAGGAAATCAATTTTCCAGATATAGACTTTATTCTTGTTACATTGTTTGTTTCATTTTTCCTTTTTTTCTTTAATTCGAATCTTTTTCCTTGTATGTTTGGAGTTATTCAAAGCTGCAAGTTTCTTAGCAAATTTCAATCTCTTCAACAAATGGTAACTGAATATTTTGGTAAAAAAAAATAATCATCCTAGCTTATTTAAAAGAAGATGAAGACTAATCATCCAATTTAGAATGAAACAGCCAACTACCATCAACACACATAGAGAAAAGCAACACATCCCTAACGTTTCTAATGCGGATCAATCACCTGCGACAAAATCACTCAAACGCTTGAATTCATTTTAAAAAATCAACTAAAAGAAATCATAACAGGAAAAATAACATCAAAATACTTATGAGAAACAAGAAAACCAATAACTATGAATTAAGAGGAATTGAACATAATAAAATTCCAACATAACTCTTCTTGATAAAAAGCACCAGTGTCTCAATTTACCTACAATTACCAAACTAAATACCAACAATTATCAAATTCACACTTTTTTCGTGATCAAAATACATTTGATTCCTCATAGAAGGCTAAAGAAAAAAACCGTTAAAAAAATCAATTTTATCACATGAAAAAAAAAGGTCATACTTGAGAAAATCCAAACAGACCATTGGCAACAAAAATTAAAAGGCAAAACAAACTTCAAAACAATTTGTCTCGAGTTGTAATGAAGTATTGTAGGACTAAATAGGAAGAGCAATATAAAGCCCTGGCAAAGTAAATAATGAACTGCTATCAGATTTACAATCACAACTTATCAGTGATGAGATTGTTCAAATATTTAAAATCTAAGGTATTACACAATCATTAGTAGTACATTATCTCCTCGTTTCTCACTTATCCCATCAAAAGAAATAAGCTTAGAAATTACGAACGCATTTAAACCAATAAAAAAATCCATGAGATCCATGGCCATCAAATCCACCATCTAGCTGTGCCCTTGGGTCAGTCAATATTCACTTATCCATCTTTTCAATGGAAGAAAAAATTCTAAACATGCAAACAAAAAAAAAATGAAAAAAAAATCCCACATGTAGGAATGAATTTGACATCTCACTAAATTTAAATTTTTTGTTTTTGATGAACATAATAAATCTAGTAGTCCATGGCTAAACTGATATTACACCTATTGCTACATTTCTAAGCATGTATTAGTGTCAGAATTAAGAAAACACCACAATGTTGCATTCAATTATTCAAACACGAGGAGCTTTCGCCATAATTAGAAACATAACAATATAAACTTGACATAACTTAACCTACATGTACTATCAAATAAAAGTTTAACAACAATACTAATATTATGAAGTATTAAGTTCTTTGCAGTCTTGAATCATACTAATGTTTTAATTGTTAAAATCATACTAATACTTTAATTGTTAAAAGATTAAAATAAATAAAAATGCTTCAAAAACCATACCAGTTGATAAGAATTTTATTCAAGAACCATCTTGGGAGTAAAATAAGCTGCGATGTAAACATTTTGAAGGTTGTTGAAACTCTTTTTAAAAAGGGGCAATTACACCGCAGTGTAATTTAAAAAAAAAAATAATTACACAGATGAAAATTTTTATGATTTTAATTATTAATATTTATAAAATTTATCACAAATTTGTAATTATTTTTAGTCAATAGAATAGCAAGACAGAATGAATCAAACCAATATAATCCAAAACGACAACAAAAACAACAAAAAAGAACATTCTTAAATCAACCTCAGAATAGAATAAAAAATTACAGGTTATAAGGCATGAAAGTAAAAGCAAGGGAATTCCAAAAGCAAAATTGCTTTTGAAGAACAATTTTTAACGGAATCCAAATTTAAAAAAAAAACAAAACAAACAAAACAAAACTACAATTGAGGCTAGCTTTGGTACTAAATCACAACAACATGAATAAAAGACATGGTACTTTTATGGACACACAAAGCTAATCATTCTAATATAGACGACCATAATAGATGCACAATTCGTCATCATCATCATCAATGTATGTTCATACTCTACAGATTGAAGCATCATTAAAATAAGCAAATCACAACTCAAAATAGGGGTGTTCACGGTTCGGTTGCGGCCGAGGAACCTCCAATCCGCCATTCGTCTGCCGGATTGGCGAATTGACGGATGAATACAAATCGGTTTGGCAGTTTAAACCTTCACAAATTTTGAACATAATATAATTACTTATCAACATTTTTTTTTGGATAACAATCCAACTTAACATAATCAAAAGATTATCAAGTAAATTGTCCAATACCAATAATAAATACATATAAGAAAACCATTTTCATTACTTTTTTTTATTCAAAAACTATTTAATTTGATTTTTTTTTTAAAAATGACAAAATTAAGCCTTGTATTTTCCACACAGAAATATCAAATATCAACACTTGCCATTTAATAAAACGATTTCCAAATTGAAAATAAATTGAAAATACTACAGAATATCTAAACTCTTTTTCAATTGAAAACACAAACAAAATATCTAAACAAATTGAAAACACAGATTCTTATAAATTACTAAGGGTGCTCGCGATTTGGCAGCTCAGTTGCGGCCAAAGTACCTCAAATCCGCCATCCGTCCAAAACTAAGCTAATCATCCTAATATAGACGACCTTAACAGATTCACAATTCATCATCATCATCATCCACGTAGATGTTCATACTTTGCAGATTGAAGCATCTTCAAAATAAGTGAATCACATCTTGAAATATAAAGATAAAAATAAAAATCTAAAATCCAAATTTTTTTTTTCAAATTTCAAACTAAAAAAATTATGAAAAATATAATCAATACAACCAGATTCACTAAAAAATATGAAAGGAAAGTCGTCATAGCAAATCAGCCAACACACTTGCCACTCCAGCAAGATGGAAAGACAAGATACCTTGCAATGTTCTACCTAAAACAAATTAATCATCAAACAAACAATAGCAACCAATGAAAAAAACCCTTTGGAAGTCTTACCTCTCTCTTCCTTTGGAAGTACTTTTTCATCTTAATCAACCACCAATCTTTTAAACAATCATTTTCAAAAAAAATTAATTGTAGTAACTTGAAGGGAAATTTTATTAAGTGTACTACTAAAAAAGGCACATCGTAAGAGAGTTATTTTTTTTTTTTTTTTTTTTAAGTGCTGCTATGTTAATTTGTGGTAAAAGTTACACACATTGAACTTATGGTGTGCACCCTAAAGTGAAAGATATACTTTTGTGGTGAGAAAAGTTGTGTCATTTTATGATTTATGTTACAAAATTTTGTGATAGTGTGTTATGAAAGACATACCATATGAGCCTTTTTACATAGTTTCTCCCTAATTTGAAATTAATGAAATACTACAGAAAGGATTTTTATTTGAGAGTACTTTAGGAAGCTTCTTACTGTTTTCCATAAATTATGACCTATTCAATTGAGTGTTGTTGACCATTACAACCTTTTTCCTTCATGATTGAACCCATTGAGTTAAATCCTAGCTATTGAATGGTAACGGTTAAGAGATATCTACAACGTTCATAACAATGAAAAGGAAAAAGCTTAATCACAAAGTATTGATCTGACTTCAACCCAAAAAAATTTGCCGTTAGTACAGGTCATTGGTAATTAGCAAAAAAATTGATGTATAACCTATAGCAATCTAATAGAAAAAGCAAGAAGATAATTTGCAAGCCCAAAACTTGCAATCTAATAGCAACATGGCAAACCCCAAAAAACACACTAAATAAGGATTTATGTTGATCAAACATGGAGAGATACTGCAATCTGATAGTATACACAAAATTCTCAATCTAATAGAATTATCCCAAAACTCACAAATAAATATAATTAAGGCTGAAAGCACGTAGAATAGCTAAAAAGCAATCAATGCCATCAATAGACACAATAGCTCTAGAAAAAACTTCAAGGACCATCAACACCATCTAGTTGTAGACCTCAAGTACCATGAACAATAACCTTGAAAAGAGAGGGGTTTTTATACCTGCAAAGTACAAACAATGATAGCAAAAACCCAAAAATTATTGAACTACAGGAAGGAAAAATTAAATATCAGAAACTAATTCAGAAGAAATCCATAACTATGACCTTGAATTCAAACTTTTGACTTCAATTTGTGACCTCTGTCTTGACCATTATCCAAATTGAAGAACCAAGGGATTCTACAAAATTGTAAGAAATCTATGGTGGTGCGTTTTGGCTTGTGGTGGAGGAGCAAGGTGGTGCTCCGGTAAGAAAAATGATGGGTTTTGGGTGTGATGAGATTGGTAGTGGTTGATTAGAAGTGGTAGATTGAAAATTTGGGGCTTCGAATCAGTGGATTCAAGTGGTTGTTGACATGTGGTTGGTTGTTGAAAGCAATCAGAGAGAGTGAAATGGGTAAGAGATTGGAGGGTTTGAAAGCGATGAACCAAATGAGTTTAATCCAAAATCTTTTGATTATTGAAGCATAAAAGAGAATGAAGGAGGAAGTGTGTGAGAGAAGCAAAGAGTGAGACTGGGAGAAGGTGTGTTTGAAATTTGAAATTCAAATGAGAGAAAGAGCTAAACAGAAAGGGGTGGGTTGGAAGGAGAAAATGTGTTAGAATTTACCATCACCTACCACCACTACCACCTCACCTACTCCACTAAACCTAACCCACTACACCACTACCACCATCTACTACACCTACATCTATATAAGGAACCATTTGTAATAGACAGTATATCAATCAATATCAATCAATAATACAATTTTCTATTTCTTTTATACATCTGTTTTAACATGGTATCAAAGCAAGGTTAAGCACTTAGTATTTTTCGCTTCACCGGCGGGCGGCAACCTTGCCTTGGCCGCCCGCCGGACCTCAACCTATTCCACTAGAATTTTCTATACATACCTTCACTCCGCTGCCACAAATTATTTCTTGATCTTGATCTTCTTCTTGTTGCTGTTGTTGTTGTTGTTCTGCTGCTGTCTCACACGGAGCTTCACCATAGACACGATACACAAAGCTTCATACACAGACAAAGCTTGTCCACTCAATCACTTGCTGGAGAAGATGATGCTACATTGCCACCTTCAAGAACAACAAGCATACATTATTCAATAATACAATTTTCTATCCTCCACCGTAAGATATATGCCAAGCAAACAATCTCAACCATTAACATACAATTTGTTTTTTGGACATTTTTGGACATTTTTAGACCATTAGATTGTGTTAATCCTACCCATTCAAATTGATATCTAGGACAAAATTGTAGTACATTTTCAAAAAGCTGGGTGCTTTATTATATAAATAATTGTGCTAGACTTAAGAACCAAAAGATATAAACTACTTCAAATGAAACCACTACATGATCTTCAATTGAAGCAAACCATGCATGAACTTCCGATAGTCATTATAGTCAACACAAGAATATATAGTGTACTAATAAATAACAAAAGAATAATATAAAAACATATATATAATTTTTGAATAGCTTAGAATAAAAGGAACAATTGTCAATCCAACAAGTATTTGCTCTTGCCATTGAATTATGTCAGCACCACTTCTTGTGAATGGGGTTGCTTCGTACTGTGTCGATATAGACTTTCAAAGGAGGGGAATCAAAAAATTTGTGTGTGTGTGTGTGTGTGTGTGTGAGAGAGAGAGAGAGAGAGAGAGAAAAAATTAGAAGCCATTATACACACGATATACATAAATAGAAATTATGAAAACACGTTGCAAAGTCACGTAGCAACAAGTCCAAAATAGTTGATGGAGATGCATAAGCCCATGTCAATACACAACCAAATAAAAAAGAAAAAAAGAAAAAGAAAAAGAAAAAAGAGCTTCACTTGATAATATATAATTTAATATGTGTGCAGCTTTACCTTCATAGCTTAGGAAATTTACTCAGTATCATGCATTCCATGACTATCTTTTGGCATGAACTTCTTTATCACTTCTCGAAGAGCAGGATCTTGTCCTTTAGTTGGGAGTATATCTACGATCAAGGAAGAATTGGATGCATCTACCGAAAAACCCCTTTGAGCCATTTCCTCAAGGAGTATTAATGCCTCATAGCACTTGTGCTGTCTAATAAATCCTCAGATAATAGTGTTGTACGTGACATCATCTGGCAAACGACCACTCTGTTCCATTTTTAACAAACAACTCTTTAGCTTCATGCAATAGGCATTCTTCACAAAGACCTTGTATCATCATAGTGTATGTTTTAACATTAGGATGTAATCCCTTGGAAGAAAGGTTACTAAAAAGTGCCCTCTGAGTATCAAGTTTTTTATCTTTGCAGAATGTATCAATGAGAATATTGTAATTTGTACATAACAACATTAAGATCTAAACCATTCCTTTCCAGCATGTGGAATAATGACAATGCTTTAGAAGTATGCCCATTTTTGCACAACCATCCAATAACCTATTATAAGTTTGCGAATTTGGAATTATTTCTACAGCTTGCATCTCATTAAAAAGTTCTTGAGCATCTCTACATCTTCCTGATTGAAACAGGCCCTCTAGCATAGCACTGCAGATTACCTATACTGAGCTTATTGCTCACCCTACGTGGAAAACCAATTTTAGGTGGATTTGGAGTGCCTCCGCCAAGACAATGACTTGGGAGGATCATGGAGCTTGATGCTCGTATTGTTATTGTTTTGCTTTCTTTTAAGCCAAGGGCTTTTTGTTTTGAGTTTATAACTCTTTTGTTGTAATCCGGGCAAGGCCTCGGAAACTTGTAGTCTTTAAGGCATTAACTTGTATTAATTTAAGTATTATCCTCTTGTACCGCATGCTATGGTTTCACGCTATAAGCTCAATGTATGTAATTAAATCTTGTAATAACTAAGGGATTCTGATGTAAGCATGTCTCATAAAGAAATCACAATAGGAGTTTTCACATGAGTGAAGATATTATAAGGGCTTTAGATGTCTATTTATTTTGGAGCCTTCCACATGGCCTCATCTATCTTCATCTTCTTGCAATATCCACTAATCAAAATATTGTGACTAACAATGTTAGGGTGAAGGCCCTTGTCCACCATGGTATTGAACACTCTCATTGCTTCATCCATCCATGTGGCCTTGCAAACAATATCCATCCATTAGACTACTGTATGTGACTACATCAGGATCCACACCTCTTTGTATCATGACTTCAAGTGCCCCCTTGTGCCTCTTTCATCATTCCTTCCTTGGTACATGCATCGACCAAAACAGTATATGTACGAACATCTGGAGCAATACCACTATCCAACATTTCTCTAAACATTCCGGTAGCCTCCTTCCACGGGCCAAAATTACGTAGGCCACGAATCAAAGAAGTATAAGTGACAACATTTGGGAACATACCCCTTTCATCCATTTTGGAAGAGAGTTTGAGAGCATCATCCACCATTCTATCCTTGCAAAGACTGTTGATGATTATACACTACGGTGTCAGGTTTACAACTTCCCTCTTCCATTATCCTAAGCAATCTAACAGCCCTGGTAGTGTTCCCCGTTCTGTAAAGCCCATTAACAATGGTTCCACATATAATCACATTGGGTTCAATTTCTCTCATTCTCATTAATTTCTTAAATAACTCTACAGCTTCAGGGATTTTATGGTCCAAAATAATTCCATTTAACAGAGTGTTGAGGGTAGTTACATCAGGTCCGTTTGAAGAGGGTACCCAAAAGAGAGAACCCAAAATCGACTTGATTCAGGCGGCAATAACGGTTAATAGCAATGTCGAAGGTGTAGATATTGACCTGAATGCCTAGAAAATAATTTCCCATTAAGAGGACGAGCGATGTCATAATGACCCATTTTCAAAAGAGGACCTAAAGCCTTGTTGAAATGAGAAATGGGGAGCAAAGGTCGCATTTGGATCATGCGATTGAACGAAGTTACAGCGTCTTGGAGACCATAGAATCGGAATGTTGGTAAAGTTTTAGGTTGATTCGTTATTAAAGCAGCATCAGCAGGCGGAGAACTAGGGTTTCGGGTAGTAGTAGAGAGAGAACAACGAAACAGAACAAATAAGAATGAGAAGGGATGATTAATTAGAGAGGGAAACATTGTACCTTTTTGACAATTATGATCAGCAATTCTTCTTCTTTTTCTTCGTCCAATAATGGAAGAAATAGAAACTCTTCTTCTTGACATCTTCTTCAAGCTGTGTGTGTGAGTGGAGAGAAACAGAGAAAATAGCAGTACAGACTGGTGGAGCAACTTTAAAATGGCTTTGCGGACCGATTAGTAGTAATTATTAAATTTGAATAAAAATTTAATAAAAAAATTTAATTTGATACGGTGCATTTTAATAATATATTTAAATTTTTTTATCAAATCTTGTTACAAGCTCAATATGAGTAAAATTTTATGTTTAGATAAAGAAAACCCAATTGTCTAGGGGACGCTCGATCCAACAACCAATTACAAATTTTGACAAAATGTCAAAAGTTCCCTTAATTTGACAAAAAATTTAACTCTCCCTTCATTTGATGTTGATTTGATGAACGGTTGGAATACTATTTTAACTAATTTTTCATCAAATTTAAATTTGATGAAACATTTGATGTAGGATTAGAGATGATCTAATATCTTAAAATCGTGTTAGAACATCTCCAACGGTTGAACATATTTTTCACCAAATTTAAGTAAAAAAAAGGCATTTTGGCTCAATCTGATATCAATCACTCCAATGTACTGTACCTTTCATCAAAACTTACCGGACGTCCGGGGGGACGACCGGCTGGTCGACCGGAAAGAGCAAAATTTGTACAATTCTGTAATTAAATTTTCAAGCTTGAAGGTCATCCGGGGGGTCGATCCCGGGGTTAAACGAGTGGTCAACTTCTCAGTGTAAAATCTGTACAACATTTTGCGCAAAATTGATCATTCGGTAGGTCATCCGGTAGTGAAACTACAACGGTAATGAATAGTGTTTTGGTGAAAGACCCAGCGTATTCTCAGTTTGGTGAAATTTTTGCTTAGTTCTCAATTTGATAATAGTTTGATGAAACCATTGAAAGGAGAAAAAGTGTTTTTTTCATCAAATTTTAAATCTGATGCACAATTTGATGCACCGTTGGAGATGGCGTTAGTTTAGATAGAGTGGTTTTGGTAATGATGCTTATTTTTTTAGGGTAAATTACATTCATTGTCTTGAGATTTTTGATAATTAAACTGATTTTGTTTAAAAAAAAAACTATTCAAATCTCTTTGTGACTAACGACGTTAATAGAAGGGTTAGTTTAGTATTTTTAATATTAAACCATTAAATATGTGATTATTATTTTAATTATAACTTATGTAGTGTTTACTTATGACTTGTGTTTTTTAGTTGTGATTAAAAAAATTTAGTTATGACATTTGTGATAATTAAGACCACAAATGTTATAAGAAGATAAATGTATAAAACTATAAAAAAAAAGACCTCTTAATATAGTCTCAAAAAAATAGATTTAGAATTTTAAACAAATAGATGAAATATATATATATATATATATATTGAGTTTTATTATTGGTTATATAAGAAGATAAACGGATAAAATTTTGCACATCCAGTAAGAAGAATTGGTGTAAATTACAAGGATGCAGATGTATAAAAAACTCACAGATACCATTTAGCTTCTTAGCAGACAGATGGTTTCCCACTTCATTGAAATCAACCATGCAACAACTTAGTTGATGGATGGGTTACACTATTGGATATACCACTGGTGCAGCGGTTCCAAAACATCAATACCTACATTATGAAAGCGGGCTCTCCTTTTCTGTTCCTGGGTCACAAGAGATCAGTATCATTCTACAGTTTTCGCATACATGAACCACAAAAGTCCATGTCAAGAACCACGTGTCGCTTGTAATTAAGAGATCCAGACAACTGTTATCACTAGCACACAGCATTGAAATATTTACAAGTAGAATTATTCTGAAGTGCTTAGTTGAACAGCTGGGTATCAGCTCAACATCCATCAATAAGGACTGTGAAACTGAAGGTACAGAAATCAGCATCATGGATCACATTTGCCTCAAATTTAACGAATATTCACAATCATGATTGTATAGCTCCTTTACCTCTTTCATCACAAACAAGAGGGAAATGTGTTTTTTAATTGATAATAAGCAGTCAGCAACATCATAATGGAAGTTATGAATTATTAAGCAACATCTAGCTATTTATAAAACTTCAGTGGAAATTCTCAAAAACTAAAAAATATATATATACATAAAAAAAAAAAAAAAATTAGTTGATGTGCTGAAAAAGGGTGCTAAACACGTAACCACTGGAGATAGCAAAAGGGCAAATTCCTGAGCCAGCTACCAAGTAACAGACCTCAATGCCCCCCCACCCTTGGCCTCATAGGATGGACTCAGCTGGGGCAGTGGTTGGTCATCAAGTTAACCAGCCAAAGGCATTCCATCCCAAGGGCATCAGTCAGTTGACAAATCTATCCAGAAAGATTGTCAGCCCTGCACTTCGCGACAAATAGCCTCTGCAGCCTTGTGTTTTGCCACTACAACCCACAATTTAAGAAATTGTCAACAGGTTGGGCTCTTGCAGTTGCATAGCCACTTCAATAATAATTGAGTCTTGATAATTCACTGTGATAATTCAACTTCATGCTGAGTTTGTCGCCAAGTATATTTCACAAGCCCATCAAAGTCACTCTATATGATGTGTGTTCAGAAGGATAGGATACTTCCACACACCCTCTGATTGATGGTCAATTAAGTTTGTATCCAACCTTATTCACCTATTTCTTTACAAACCGGAGCAGTTGAAAGACATTGCCATGAAGCTCTTATCAACATCAACCCAAAAACATCAACTTCACCTTTCCTTACCTGCACAAAATATATATATATATATATTTCCAAGCGGTAGCTACAACAATATTTCAAGTAGCATCAAGTAGCATTTGCATTGAAAACATGCCAATCTCCTAGAGGGGAATGAAAAAGAAGACTGATATTTGCAATCATAAATAAACATACAGGAACCTAGCGCAAAGCTAATAAAGATCACATTTTTCTTTGACTAGACATTCAAACAATATCTAAAGGGTTATTTATTTATTTATTTTCCATCTCTAGAACATACTGGAAATGAGATCTGGTGTTCTACACCTACAACTAATAACATAGTTCAAATTGAAAGCGATGCAAAAGAACCAGGATTACGGAGATCATAAGGTGCATATCGTTTATAATCCACCATGGCGCCACAACTAGCCCACAGGTTGGCCTCCTACACTTGAGCAGCCACTAGCCACTTTTTTTGTACTTGTGCCTTGATAATTCATTTCCACTCTAGCTATGTCACAGTTCCATATCAATATCTTTTAGACTCAACAGCCCCAATAGCAAAAGGATATATACCAGAAAACTATTAAAATCACCCCAAGGGTCATATGAGAACTACTTAATCTGTAGTTAGCTTAATAAATGCAAGCTATATATAACCGAATCTTATCATAGTAGCATATAGCACTACTAGAACCCTTAGTTGTGCCCCTTAGTTGTGAAGGTAGCTACATCAGGTGCATAACCGCGTTTGAAGAGGGTACCCAAAAGAGACAACCCAAAATCGACTCGATTAAGGCAGCGGTAACAGTTAATAGCAATGTTGAAGGTGCAGATATTGACCTGAATGCCTTGGAACTGTTGCAACATGTTCTGAATAAGAAAAAGAGCAGTGGTGTAGTGACCCAATTTCAAAATAGGCCCTAAAGCTTTGTTGAATTGAGAAATTGGGGGAAATTGGGGGTAAAGGTCGCATTCGGAACATGCAATTGAATGAAATTAAAGCAGAATGAAGATGATTGGAACCCAAATTGCATGGTTGTTTGGGTAAGGCTTTAGGTTTAGGTTCACCTCCTTGAGAAGGAGAAGTAGGTTTTGGTGGTGTCAGAGAGAGAACGAAACAGAACAAATAAGAAAGAAGAGGGATGATTAACAAGTAGAGATGGAGATTTCGATTTCGAAGTACCTTCTAATAGCCAATTATTGTAAGCTATTCTTGGTAAAATAATGAAAGAAACATAAATTCTTCTTCTTCTCGACATCTTCTTCAAGCTCAGCTCTGTGTCCGCAAGGAGAGAGAGAGAGTAATACTGTGTAGCAACTGAATACTTGCTTCTTTTGGTTTTGGTTTGATTTTTAAAAAAAAATTTCCACCTTCAAAAAATATAATATCATTTGAAATTATTATCCTTCTATATCCATTTCAGTTTGACCAATTTTTTCAAAAGCCAAATGTGCCTTCAATGTGTTCATCCTAATGTAATACTAAACCCTGATGGTGAATTTGTAGCTAAATGTGCAAATTTTCTTCCTAGTATAATGCAATATTTCTGCAGTTGATAAACCACCAATCCATGCCCTCCAATTACAGCAGCAACACCACATGAACTAATAATCATCAGTCATCAGCACAAGAAAATATACATAGAATGTCAATAAATATCAACAGAATGATATGGAAATACCACAGCTTATGAATTCTTTAGAAGAACAGGAACAGTCGTAAATTCATCAGATTTTTGCTCTTGCCATTGAGTAATTCTAGCACCAAGGAATGTGAATGAGGAGAATCCAAAAATTGCAGTGAACTGAACCTTTAAGGGAGGAGAATCCAAAAATTTAAATGGCAATCATGTAAGCAAACAACTGGCATCCTAACAAGGCAATAGTTGTCTCACCCACTCCAGGCAAGACTATCAACTATTAAATTGCTTCATCTAGTCATGAATCCTTTTTTTTTCTTTCCATCTGGGACTAATGATGGCAACCTCATCTATCGATCTAGTGCTAGTATAGAGGTATATGCTACTTAGTGTAAAACCTATCAAGCTTTGTGCTAGTATAACAAAAGCCTCATGACCAACCACTATTGTAACCAATCCAACTTACTGGTACAGCAATTGTGTCTCCTCCAACGCATCATGCTAATATTCCAGAAACATTTAAGGGCAATGAATCAGATCTGGAGAACTATTTGATGCACATTGAACTAATAAAGCAATGTCTACAGACGTTACTAGTGGTCATTTGTCTCAAATTCCCAAGGAAATGCCTACTAATACAGAACTTCAGTCCCCTGCACAAGAATCTACTAGAATCTGCAACATGTGAATTACAATTCTGCTAAGAGAGGTAGCAACGAGCCCATAAGAATCCAAAACATATGAGTAGCACTTTGCTAAGAGAGTTACCAACAAGTCCCGAATAATGAAAGAGAAGCATAAGCTCATGTGTATATAAGGGCTTAAGCCTCTCCCCTTCAGATTCATAGGATCTGACGCTGTCCTAAAAAATCCTAAGTATCTTATTCCTAAATATAGTGATCATGAGAATTGAGAAGAAATGCATATAAGCCTTTCAAATGGCCACATGTGTTAAAGGTGGCAAAAGCTAGGCTTTATGCCTCTTCGAGTCATTTACTGAAACAAAGCAATGGCTCTGTCTTCTATTTCTTGCAAAGAGCAACTAATATTACAGCACTCGAGGATTTACACAAGGAATAATTCCATGAGCATTCTGGTGGTTAATATTTTAGCTTTGGTTTTTCATATAAACATGATGATCATTCTCTAACCATTTAATTTTCACCAATTTATTAAGTTCATCCTAGTATAAGAGAAAAGGTATAATAAAGCCCAACCAATGTGGTTAATATTATACGCCGCCAGTTTGTTTACCTTTTTTGTATTAGTATGGTATGCATTCAATAAAACATATTAAAGTTAGTTTTCCCGTTGGCAGGTAGTTTTGTGCATCATTCCAACTAAAACATATTAAAGTCAGTTTTCTGGAGTGCACACTTGGCTGCTGAGTTGGCTTAACATGCCAAGGTCTCACTTCAATAACAAATTCGTCAGAAATCTACACCAGTTTAGGCAAATATTATTGACTAGAACTTGGTTACAATCTCTACAGGGAAAAAAATAAAAAAATAAAAAAAAAACAGAAAAAAAACAATAGGTGATTTTATTATTAGATATGCCTCTAGTATGTCTACAATCAAAATGTCATTACTTTATATATATATATATACTTTTTGTCCTGTTCTTGTACAAGTAGTAAATATTATTTGTCATCCTACAGGACCACAAAAAGAAAACAAATACCTGAACCTATCCTCTTTCTCTAGTGCAACATATAATGTAGGCTATTTTAAGGACATTACAATTATCTATTGAAGAATTAAGTGGAAGAAGTGATTTTTAGAGCTTGTCTTTGGTTGATCAACAGGGTCAGCCTGTACTTTATCTTCTTCCCATAGATTGCATTTGCTTCATTTTAATGAATTAAAGCTCATAATGAAAATTGTATAGCTCCTTACAGCTTTTGTGAAAAACAAGAGGTAAAATACCAAATCTGTACTTAGCTTAATAAATTCAAGCTATATATAACCGAATCTTATCATAGTACCATATAACATTACTAGAACCCCTTAGTTGCAAACCAATCTTTCCTTCCAAAGAGTCCTTTATTGGTAACATCAAAATATGGGCTAATTAACCAAGCGAGCTACAAATCATTTTAAAAATACACTAGCAACAAGGGTTCACTAAGTTATTTTAATCCATCTTAATCTGCATTCCATTAAAAAAGAGTGATATATGAAAAGAATTACAGATATAACTTTGAAAATGGTGACTAGCAAAAATGTATCCATGTTATAGAACTAAAGTAATTTAGGTCAAATACTTCTCAAGTTGGTTTTTCTGATTTGCACAGCGCAAAAAGTATTTAAAACCTGGTAGAAGGCAGGCTTTATGTATCCTTGAGTCATTTACTGAAACAAGACAATAGCTCTTTCTTCTATTTAATGCAAAGAGCAACTAATGTAGCACTGTAGAAATTACACAAGGAACAATTCCACGATCAATCTTCTAGCTAATATAGATCAGTCCCAAACAAATTAATTTTTACCAATAATTTCATCCTAGTGTAAGAGAAAAGGCATAATAAAACACAACCAATGTCATTAATATCGTACCAGTCAGTGTACTGCATTTTTCATTAGTGCAGTACATACTGGTACAGGCAAGATGCAACATCCATACATATATTTAAAAGAGTTTCACCAAATAACAGACATTTTATAAGCATAAAAGGCTACACAATTTAGTATAATGTAGTTTTACCTTCACAGCTTAAGAAAAAAAAAAAAAAAAGGCCCAAATAGTACACGTTAATGTGTGTTTGGGAGGAGAAAGATTAGGTACACACATAACATTTGGCATAGTTCATAAAAAAAAAAAAAAAAAAAGGCCCAACTAGTACACATTAATGTGTGTTTGGGGGGAGAAAAATTAAGTACACACATAACATTTGGCATAGTTCATAAAGGTTAAGAAATTTACTCAATATCTTGCATTCCATGACTATCTTTGGGCATGAACTTCTTTATCATTTCTTAGAGAGCAGGATCTTGTCCTTTAGTTGAGAGTATATCTACGATCAATAGAAAGTTGGATGCATTTCCTGAAAAAGCCCTTTGAACCATTTCCTCAACGAGTATTCATGCCTCATAGCACTTGTGTTGTCCAATAAATCCTCGGATTATAGTGTTGTAAGTGGCATCATTTGGCAAACAACCATTCTGCTCCATTTTAACAAACAACTCTTTGGCTTCATGCGGTAGGCCTTCTTCACAAAAACCTTGTATCATCGTAGTGTATGTCTTAACATCAAGTTGTAATCCCTTGGAAGAAAGGTTACTGAAAAGAGCCCTTGCAGTATAAAGTTTTTTATCCTTGCAAAATGCATCAATGAGAATACTGTACATAACAATATTAAGATCTAAACCATTCCTTTCCATCATATGGAATAATGACAATGCTTTGGAAATATTCTTGTTTCTGCACAGCCCATCCAACATGATAGCATAAGTTTGAGAATTTGGAATTATGCCTGCAGCTTGCATATCATTAAAAAGTTCTTGAGCAGCTCCACATCTACCTGTTTGAAACAAACCCCGTAACATAGCACTGAAAGTTCCATTGTGAGGTTTCAACCTCCTTCGAGGAAATTCTCGAAAGAGATGCATGCCCTCATCAATTTTCATTTTCTTGCAATATCCATTGATTAGAATGGTATAGCTATAAACATTAGGGTGAAGGCCCCTCTCCACCATGGTATTCAACACTCTGATTGCTTCACCCATTTGGCCTTGCAAACAATATCCATCCATTAGACTACTGTATGTGACTACATCAGGATCCACACCTCTGTATACCATGACTTCAAGTACCCCCTCTGCCTCTTTCATCTTCCCTTCCTTGGTACATGCATCCAGCAACACACAATACGTATGAACATCCAGAGCAATACCATTATCCAACATTTCTCTTAACATTCCAGTAGCCTCCTTCCACTGGCCAAAATTACATAGGCAATGAATCAAAGAAGTATAAGTGACAACATCTAGGAAAATACCCTACTAATACCATAAATTCTCCTTTAGAGAACTAGTTGATGACCACATACCTAAGAAAGAAATCTCCAAAAGTACCACTGGCGGTCATTTATCCTAAATCCCTAAGAAATGACCACTTGTACATAATTCAGGGGACTGAAAAAGAATCTATTTGAATTGTAACATGTGAATTAAAATACTGCCGAGAGAGAGGTAACAAACAGTCTACAAGATTCTACAACATGTGAAAATAATATTGCAAAGTCATGCAACAACAAGTCCCAAATTATTGATGGAGAAGAAGTATAAACCCATGTCAATATATAACAAAAGGAAAAAAAAAAGGGAGCTTCACCTAATAATATATATTACAATATGTACGTAGCTTTACCTTCACAGTTTAAGCACTTTACTCAATCTCTTGCATTCCATGACTATCTTTGGGCATGAACTTCTTTATCAATTCTTGGAGAGCAGGATCTTGTCCTTTAGTTGAGAGTATATCTACGATCAACAGAAAGTTGGATGCATTTCCTGAAAAAGCCCTTTGAACCATTTCCTCAACCAGTATTAATGCCTCATAGAACTTTTGTTGTCCAATAAATCCTCGGATAATAGTGTTGTAAGTGGCATCATTTGGCAAACAACCATTCTGCTCCATTTTAACAAACAACTCTTTAGCTTCATGCAGTAGGCCTTCTTCACAAAAACCTTGTATCATCGTAGTGTATGTCTTAACATTGGGTTGTAATCCCTTGGAAGAAAGGTTATTGAAAAGGGCCCTTGCAGTATCAAGCTTTTTATCCTTGCAGAATGCATCAATAAGAATATTGTACTCAACAATATCAAGATGTAAACTGCAGCTTTCCATCACGTGGAATAATGACAATGCTTTAGAAATATGCCCATTTTTGCACAACCCATCCAATAAGATACCATAAGTTTGAGAATTTGGAATTATGCCTGCAGCTTGCATATCATTAAAAAGTTCTTGAGCAGCTCTGACAGACCGAGTTTAAAAGTACCCCCTCTGCCTCTTTCATCTTCCCTTCCTTGGTACATGCATCCAGCAACACACAATACGTATGAACATCCAGAGCAATACCATTATCCAACATTTCTCTGAACATTCCAGTAGCCTCCTTCCACCGGCCAAAATTACATAGGCCATGAATCAAAGAAGTATAAGTGACAACATTTGGGAAAATACCCTTTTCATCCATTGTAGAAAAGAGTTTGAGAGCATCATCCACCATTCTATCCTTGCAAAGACTGTCAATGACCGTGGTATACACTACGGCGTTAGGTTTACAACTTCCCTCTTCCATAATCCTAAGCAAACTAACAGCCCTGATAGTGTTCCCCGTTCTGCAGAGCCCATTGACAATGGTTCCATACATAACCACGTTGGGTTCAATTTCTCTACTTCTCATTAATTTCTTAAACAACTCCACAGCTTGAGGAGTTTTATCTTGCAAAATAAGTCCATTAATCAGAGTTGTGAAGGTAATTACATTGGGTGTATAGCCGCGTTTGAAGAAGGTACCCAAAAGAGACAACCCAAAATCGATTCGATTAAGGTGGCAGTAACAGTTAATAGCAATGTTGAAGGTGCAGATATTGACCTGAATGCCTTGGAACTGTTGCAACTTGTTCTGAATAAGAGAAAGAGCAGTGGCGTAATGACCCATTTTCAAAATAGAGCCTAAAGCTTTGTTGAATTGAGAAATTGGGGGCAAAGGTCGCATTTGGAGCATGCGATTGAAGGAAATTAAAGCAGAATGAAGATGATTGGGACCCAAATTGCATGGTTGTTTGGGTAAGGCTTCAGGTTTAGGTTCGCGTCCTTGAGGAGGAGAAGTAGGGTTTTTGGTGGAGTTAGAGAGAGAACGAATTAGAACAAATAAGAAACAAGAGGGATGATTAACTTGAACAAGTAGAGATGGAGATGGAGATTTGGAAGTACCTTTTAATAGCCAATGATTGTAGTAAGTTATTCTTGGTCCAATAATGGAAGAAATAGAAATTCTTCGTCTTCTGCTTGACATCTTCTTCAAGCAAATGTATACTTGCTTCTTTCGGTTTTGGTTTGATAGAATTGGTTTTCTCAAAAAAAAAAATTAAAAAAAATTATAAGTTTTATAAAAAATTTAAAAATTATTTCTACCTTAAAAAAATATAATATCATATGAAATTTATGTATGCTTTTAAATTTTAAATTTTATAAAAATATTTCAAGAAAATATATTCTAAAAATTAAACCAAACAATAATATCATATCTATATAATAAAGCAAAACAGATTTTGAAAATATATAAAATGGTTCAGAAATACATTTCTTTTGAATGGCTGAGATCAATCCTAAAAATATATTAAGGGTGCAGATCAATTTGATTCCCGCTCAAACCCTCTCTGCTCTCTCTCTTCCACGTCTGCCCCAACACGTCTCTACAACTCTCTCTCTACACGTTCTCTCTCTCTCTCACCACTGTCCCTCTTATCTCTCTCTCACTCTTTGTTCTTCTGCTTTAACAGAACGATCTCATCCACCCTCTTCCTCCTCAACGACAGGCGAAAGAGAAAGAGTAGCAGTAGCAGAGTCCCCAGTGGCCAATGATTCCCAACAAACAAGAAAGTTGAATCGGAAGCTAATCCGACGGCCGCACCATATGAGAAAAGTTCCCAATCCCAGACGAGAAGCTCTCTCTCTCCAAAACCCTTGCCATACTCAAAAGTAAAATCTTTCTCTCTCTCTCTCTCTCTCTCTCTCTCTCTCTGTATGTGTGTTTTGTGGACTGGATTATCATATTATATAACTCTCTCCACAACTAATTAAGTTTTTTGGATTTGTAACAGAAGATTCAGATCTCGCTGCTGAAAAGAAATCAGCCGACCCAATTGACAGAGGTAATCTCTCTCTCTCTCTCTCTCTCTCTATTATATAGGTATTGAGAGAGTAATTTATATGAAAATTGGGTCGAGCTGGGCCATTATGGGCCTCAGTGCGAAGGGCTGAGTAAAAAGGGCATAAAGTTGCTCCGGTCTTGAAGACTCTTAAAGTTACTCCGGTCTTGAAGAGGCTTAAAGTTACTCCGGTCTTGAAGAGGCTTAAAGTTACTCCGGTCCCAAGGAGGTTAGCTCGGTCACCATACTAAAAACTTATATCGGTTATGGCGCAGTATGGTTAGCTCGGTCTAAACCTTGCTAAAAGTTAGCTCGGTTTAGACTTACCACGGTTTGTACAAGAGGAACTGAGGTAAGGGCAGTAAAAGGACGAACCAAACTAAAGATAGATCGGTCTGTTCTACGGCTAAGCATAGCCATGCGTACCTCGGCCACATTGGAGTCCGACCATGGTAAAACCATCTCACTTGGTTTAAACAGTGAGGGGGTGTTGAAGGATAAGTATTATCTTTCAGGAGTATGAATCCTAGGAGGACTCTACATGGAGGAGTAAGAGTCCTACTTGGATTGTGCCACACGGAACCTATAAAAGCTCGCAAACATCACCTATGGAGAGGTAACACAACTTTGATTCCTGAATACACAGAGCTTTTGTCTACTTGTCTATTTTGCTGACATAGGCATCGGAGAGGTTTCCGGCACACATCCGCCGGCTAGCTCACGTTTGTGTTTTCAGGGAGTAAAGCAACTACGTTTGGAGGAGCGCAGACTTGATCAACAGGATTATACGAGAAGATTTATTTCTTTCCCGTACAATTGGCGCCGTCTATGGGAATTTCAGACTAGAACAAAACCTCTTGATCAAGCTTTTCCTCTTTAAAAACAATGGCGCACAACGAAGATTTGCCGCAGTCTGCCATCGACAGACAAACACCAGAGGGGGGTGCAAGGCGCGAAGGCCTATGTTCTATCCTTCCCATGGCGGACTTAGAGCCACAACGACAAAATCCCAGGAGGGATGTAAGGGGGAGGAGGCGGACTAACAGCCCCCGTCACTCTCATTCACAAAGTCCTGACAGACAAAGGCGAAGGATTGATCCTCAAGTTTTAGAGGACCGTGTAAAGGAGCAGGACGAATTAATACGACGGATGGCGGCGGACATGGAGATTATGAAACGCCAGATGAAGGGAAAAGGAGTGGCGACAGGAGAGGGGAGCAAAAACAAGATGCCCCCTCGCCGCTCAGAAGATCGTGGAAGGCATTCCACACTATCACAAGCAGAGAGTAGAAGCCTCAAGACAGGTGATACTCAGTCCAGAACCTCCAGAACTCGTTACTTTAGGTCTGAGAGAACGAGATCATTAAGGTCTTACACTGAGGGAAGTACCTACCGACCCTCGCACTCGCACCAGACATCATCCAGGCAAACGGAGTTGCCCAGATCATCCAACTTGCGGACCATGCTGGAAGAAAAGGCACGATAGAAGGAGGATACTAGGGTGCGCAACCCTCACAGGGTATCTGCCCTTCAGCGGTTGGCTCCTCAGACGCATGGAAGCGTCGAGGTTGGAATGCCATTACCACGCCCTGCCTACGAACCAACGGACAAAGCATTAGCGAGGCTGCAGACCTCGCCGTTCGTTCCGGCAATTGAAAACGCGCCCCTACCTTCAGGCTTCCTTCAGCCCAAATTCACTACGTACGAGGGGAAGACGGACCCCTACATTCACCTAAGCCACTTCTGCCAGGTTATGGCGGTGTATCGGCGAAACGAGGCTTTAATGTGCATCCTCTTCCCGTCAAGCCTTTGCGATCTAGGCTTGACTTGGTTCGAAAAACTTCCAGAAGGCAGCATAGCCGCCTAGGCGCAATTGGCGGAGGCGTTCGTCACAAGGTTCAGAACAAACACCAAAACCCCGGTGGAGATTGACCAGCTACTCTCCATCGACATGGGCAAAAAGGAGACATTAAGATCCTACAATAGTCGCTATTGGGAGACATTCAATCAGATTGGGGACTGCCCCACCAATCTCGTTATTGCACAGTACAAAAGAGGCCTTCCAGTCGGGAACAGACTAAGGGACTCGATCACCATGACGCCACCCCTCACCATGGAAGCTCTGATGGAGAGAGTGCATCAGCACATCAGGGTAGAAGAGGATGGTGCACGTGCCAAAGCAAAATCTAATACAACCGCAGTGCCAGAAAAGAAAACCTCAGCAAAGGTCAATACAGTAGATCGGCAGAACAAAAACGGACGTGGCAGACGAGATAACGGAGAAGACCCTCATAAAAGATGGTTGAGAATCCGTACTGCCATAACCACGGTGTTCAAGAAACCGATATATCGGATTCTTAGCGAAATAAGAGATGAGCCTTTCGTCAAGTGGCCAGCCAAGCTAGGAGAAGCCCAGAAGGATTATGACGAAAGATCGCGGTGCACCTTCCACAAAGAAAAGGGGCACCGCACTGAGAATTGCACACCATTGAGACAACACCTGGAAGAATTAGTGGCAGCAGGCCACTTGGACAAATACATTGAAGGAGGGACGCAACCAGCCCCCCAGGATCACAATAACCCCAACGGAATGCCAATCGACGCCCCACCTCAAGGCATTATCAATGTAATACATGGAGTCCTTGAAGCTGAGCGTGTATGCGAGCTCAGGGGACTCCCATCAAGTAATGCGGTTCCCCAACGAAGCCGGAGTAATTGAAGAGGTCTTTGGAGATCAAATTATGTCCAAACAATGCTTCGTCACAGTTAATGGCAGCCGCGCTGCCAATGGATATGTTCATTCGGTGGAAGAACCTGAGAGCAACGAACTATTCGTAGATGTCGGCAAAGCAGCTGATCAAAAAGCGGTAGAAGATTTGGTAGAGGTAAGAATAGATGAAAAGAACCCGGATAAGTTCTTTTTGCTCGGTTCGTCGTTATCCAGCACTGAGAGATTAAAGGTCTTGGAATTCCTGACCTCTAACATCGAAGTGTTTGCCTGGACACCATACGACATGCCTGGCATCGATCCAAACTTCATCTGTCACCAACTCAATGTCCACCCATCCACCAGACCAATCATTCAGCGCACTC